TTGTTTGGATGTGGGTTTAGCAAAAATGAGCTACCCGTATGTGGTTTGGGCTGAGTTGGCTAAAAAGAGATTGAGATGCCACCGCCAGTTGTGTGGGCTAGCTATAAGAGATTGAGATGCTAGACCCGTTTGTCCAAGTGCTAACTAGGCCAGGCTAGTTACCACTTGCGGGGGAGTGTTGGAGTTCCCACATCGGAAAATAAAGATGAGTATCACTTGCATATATTGAAAGATGAAGCCCTACCTATCAGCTTAAGCTTTTGGGTTAGAATTGTGGATCCCGACTTTATGTGCAAGTGGTTAATTTTACCCGACACTCTATCCGTTGTTCTTGGCCCGCCGGAATTTTAACACTTTACATATTTTCATCTATCATTTGATAAAATAATATAGTCACGCCACCTCTTATTTCGTAGATCTTTTGATGAAGTAAATAAATATATATAAATTTTATTTTTACACCAATTTTGAAATAAATTGAATTGAAAAACCATATCAGTCAAGCATCGTCAACCATTGTGAAGAATCTAGTGGGACGGGGGGAGTATTTTCTTATTTTAATCACAGGAACAGTTACGTCCATTGCCCGGAGCTAAAAGAATCAATGTTGGCAATGTTATGGATTTGGATAAATAATAGACTATTTTTCAAAATGGCACATCTTTGCAAAAAACTCAATCTATCCATTAGAGTACCACAAAATGGAGTGCCATAAGGTCCATTGTATATCATGATTATCATCAATGAACTCATACACTATGTTTGGTTCAAGGAATTTGAAAGGGAAAAGAGAAGAAAATGAAGTGAAAAATATGTTTTCTTGTTTGGTTAGAGAGGAAAAGAATGGAAAAGTAGAAAGAAAATAAAATGAGAAGGCAAAATATACTAAGAGGAGGGAAAACCAAATTCTTCTCATTCTGGTGTGGAAAAGGAGAGAATCATTTTCTTTTCTTTTCCTTCCAAATTCCTTAAACCAAACATAGTGATAATAGTCATATATATCCTCCACTTATGTGGTCGCTGTTGTTGAGTGTTTTTTCCAAGAATTAACTGCCTGTAAATTTGCAGATATATTTAAGTGTATAAGATATTAAAATCGTCACTAGTGCTAAAGATTTGCAGATTAAGAGGCAATTAATTTTTGGGAAAAACACTCAATATTGAAATAGATATAAAGACAACAACAACAACAACAAGAAAGCATTATCCCACTACGTGGGGTCGGTTACATGGATCAAACAACGCCATTGCGCCCTATCATGTATCATATCTACTGTGAGGCCGATGACATCATTCACGCGAAGGCCCCCCTTCTCACTGGATGCTCTATTGTTCTTTTCTCCACTTGTCCAAACCACTTAAGACGAGTTTCCACCATCTTTTCTACAATAGGTGCCACTTCAACTATAGCTCTCATATCTTCATTCCTTATTCTATCGATACGCAAATGGCCGCTCATCCAACAAAGCATCTTTATTTTCCCCACACTAACCTTGTGTTCATGTTCACCCTCTGCTGTCCAAAACTTTGTTCCATACAATATAGTTGGTCTAATCGCAGTACGGTAAAAGTTTCTCTTTAGCTTTAAAGGTACTCTTTTATCACATATGAAGGCAATAAAGCCCGAAGCACTCTGCCATTTTGACCAACCGGCTTGAATCTTATGGTTAATGTTATCATTTATTTCTCCATTGTCTTGAATGATACACTGAAGATATTTATATCTCTTGTGGTATAGTATTTTCTTCGACTTTCACCTCGATGTTACTATTTCTCCTTCCGTTGTCAAACTTGCACTCCATATTTTCTGTTTTAGTGCGACTTATACGCAAGCCATGCAACTCCAAATCTTGTCTCCAGGGATCCAACTCTCCGTTCAAATCCTCTCGTGATTTGCCCATAAGGATGATGTCATCGGCAAAAAGCATGCACCATGGTACGTGTTCTTGGATATGCTTTGAACGTCCAATA